GAGAAGCTACCTATAACCCCAGCCTCTATCATAATGAGATACATTTAAAAACACCCAACAAATTAATCCTACACACTACCATTTAATGGTATTAAATGCTGTTTTAAAAAGAAGTTTGTCAGGTTTTCCACTGAAATTTAGTATCGTTCTTCTTAGATCAGTGATTCTCAACCCTGTGAGACTCATGGTCCACTTGTTATAGCAAATATTTTATGTTCTCTTATCTTGAGACAAAATTCATACACACACACACAATTTGTGTGTGTATAAGTATAGATTAAATATATCTATATATTTGTATAGTATACATTTATAGATTTACCTTACATATAAGTTAAAAGTAGTTATAATGCCCTAAGTAATATAAATGAGAAATAATAAGGAAAATAATTTAGAATAAAAAATATGTATTTCAATATGTAAGTGCGCAAGCACGACTGCATTAGAAGACGTAAGGTACTCGGATGCTTGCATCTGTGTATAGAATCACCAGGATTACAGCATTCTTAAATGCAGATTGGTAAAGTTGTGTTTCATTGGCAGTTAAAATACCATGAATAGGAGTGCCTGGCTGGCTTAGTTGGTAGAGCCTGTGACTCTCGACTTCAGAGTTGTGAGTTGGGCCTGGAGCTTACTTACAAAATAAATACAAATTAAATTAAAAAATAAAATAAAATAAAATACCACAAGTAGTGTTGCCATTTGGTACATGATTTTCCAAGGTGAAGTTTAAACAAATCAAAATATAATCTTTATTTGGTAACGGCATTCCTAGAAATTCATTGTATATTAAAATTGTGCAAAAATACCTTTCATTTACGTGTAGAACAGATTTAAGTTTTAGGCTTAAACAATTTTGAATTGGTTTTCACCCACATGAATGTCCAGTAGGACATCCTTCACTGCATGGGAATATCCATGCATTCTAAGATGTCTAACATACACGTCCCTTTCTTTATCCTCCCTCTCCAGGGCTGGGGGCAGGAGAGAACCCTAAAGCTCAGCAACCTCTAATCACTGTGATAACCAAAAACACCCTCACAAATTTCCAGGGTGCCTTCTTGGGGTGCATAACCCCTTTTTTGAACCACTGCCTTAAGGGAATGGTCAATGAGAAAATAGAGCTAATAGTCCAATATGTCTCTAGCAAGACATGTGTAGCCCATTCTTTGTATTCCTGTTTCTGGAAATGGTGATCTTAACCATAGAATACATAGAATAAGTGAAATATAAAAGGCCATCATAGAATAAAATATTACATTTGCATTGGCTGAAAGTGTATAAATCTGCTTTTTTTTTTTAGGGCAAAGTGTCCTAATCTGGGGTTTGGACACTCCCTGAAATTATACACTTTGTGTGTATTTTCTTTTGGGGCAGATGGTCCATAGTTTTAAGTAAATCTTTAAAGGAGTCCCTGAGGTTATGGTGGAGTCTAACAAGTGTGGAAGGAGTCCATTATCTTTTGTGTGAACCTTGGGACACGGTTTAACTCTCTGAGTTTGGCTGAGATTGGAGTAGCCTTCCTTACCCTTACCACTACTTCTTTCCTTTCTGACCAGAAGAGGTAGGGATTAAAATGCTGTAACTGAGGAAAATCCATTTTTGAAAATTTAGCTTTCTTGAAACCATGACATTAGAACTCAGAGGAAAGCTCACGTATTGTCATTGAGTCTTTATCCTGTCACCTTCCAGGAGAGAGAGGGATTTTAATGATTGTGTAAAGCTTTCCAGGATATCATATGACAAACAAGCTTTTTTAAAAAAAATAGTATTTTATTTTATAACCAATTCCAGCGTTTTAAAAAAGAAAATTTTAACAATGACTTTTTAACTCTGCTCTCCCATCCAGTTATTTCCGTATGGGTGGCCATAGTTGATACTCTGTGGAAATTACTTTTAAGAGAGGCAGTGCATTGGGACAAATTTTACTTAGTTGATACAGCCTCTTCCTTTTGCTTGTTACTTATTCCAGGGAGTTTCAAGAAAAATCTTTGTCCCTAATTAACACGTGTGATAAGAAAACAACATTAGTATATACAATTTTTTTCTCCTCTTGGAAAATGTCAGGAATATTCTTAGACCTCTCTTTAAATGCTTAATTTAGGTCATATGGTATCTCCTCCTACCTGTGTGTCTTACTGTTATTTGGGAGTTGGTTTTGAGATTCTTTCTTCTAATATTCTTTTTTTTTTTTTAAATGTTTATTTATTTTTGAGAGAGACAAACACAGTGCAAGCAGGGAAGGGGCAGGGAGAGAGGGAGACACAGAATCTGAAGCAGGCTCCAGTCTGAGCTGTCAGCACAGAGCCTGAAACGGGGCTCAAACCCACAAACCGAGAGATCATGACCTGAGCTAAAGTCGGACGCTCAACCGACTGAGCCACCCAGGAACCCTTCTTCTATTATTCTTTATATTTCTTTTTTATTTGCCATCCAAGATTAATATTTGCCTGATAATATAGTTCCCACTATGTTAAGCTGGAAAATTCTAAGAGTAGTCATCAATTATTGCTGCGACAAAACATATCCTTTCCTAACATACGTATCCTTTCAAGTGAGGGTATCATGGAGAAAGAAGAGTTAACAGGGACTTCTTTTATCAGGGTGGCACCTGAGTTATGAATTCCATAGGTTAGATGAAGCTGAACTGTTTCTAGACCAAATTCCCTAAATGCTTAGATTGCATTGAGATGAGTTACAATTAGGTCAGTCAAGAAGGCCTAAACAGGTAATAAATGAGAGGCTAATTAGTTTCCTGCTTCTGCCTCTAGATTTAAGCAGCGTAAAGAGTTCATGCACGAACCCTTTGACTTTGGCGTTTGCTTTCCAAGGACAATTCCAGGCAGCAGCTAGTTCCTTCTTGAGCTAAATTCAGCTGCTTCCTGAGCTTGCTTTAAAAAATAATCATCCTTGCCAGATTTCAGCCTTTGAGTTGCCTGTTTTCAAATCAGTAAAAATTATTGTCAAATCCTGATGGTTGTATATTGCTTACGTAGAATTACAGGAAGCTTTAAGGAAAATTTTACTGAATTTTCTGGAATGAAGATAACAGAATGAGAATCACATGGCACATTATTGAGAATAAGAAGGTTTTAGATTTTAGAGCTAATGTCACTGACTTGACTTTTAACTTTGAGAGATCATAATTTTCTTAATTGTTTATGTTTTCTATTTAATAAAATTGAAGAGAATGACGTTAGGCCCCTTGCGCTTCTGTGATTTTAACATGTATATTTTTCCTTTGAGATAAGTTATAGGAATGATTAATTATTCCCATTTGATCCCACTCATTTAACCTTGAAAAACATCTTTTAACTTTGTTGGGAGAAAAGTCACATATGAGTATGGAAGGCTTTTTAACACCTACAAGAGTATATGATAACAGGGGACTTCACTTCCTACCCTGGCCCCCCAGCTTCCTATGTCTGTGTCCCAGAGCTATCCACTGTCGGCCACTGTAGGCATCCAAAAATGTTCTGTGCACACACAAGCACGTGTGTGTGTGTGTGTGTGTGTGAATGCATGTGTGTGTCACCTTTTCACCAGCTGAATATATTTATCTTTACCTTATATTTTATCATATTTTATATTTATATTAACTATTGGCATTCTTAAATTTTTTTTTTAAAGTAATTCCTACACCCAACATGGGGCTCGAAATCATGACCCTGAGATTAAGAGCCACATGCTCTACTGACTGAGCCAGCCAGGTGCTCTTAGTATTGGCATTCTTTTGAAATAAATTACATGTGAATAATAATAGCTATAATTATTTAATGATAATTAAATTATTTGATTAATGCAGTTTATTTTGCCAGACCATTATTACACTTTGATCCTTGTTAGTAATTATGCTCAGTTAGTAATTTTCTTCTGATTTAAAGACAGTGAGAATGTAATGTGATAACATTTCTGAATTTTCACTTTTCAAACAACATAATGGTGGTGATAGCACATTATATTTTATAATTTTTTTCCCATTTAGTTCAAATGTTTTAAAAATTTACTGTGTCAAAACCTTCCATTTCCACATGGTGTAGAAAGAGAGGGGGTATTTTCAGGGTAGAAAATTCAATGTTTAAAAACTGTCCAAGTCCAGGAAACTTGTTGGAGCTAGTTATGTGGTCGAGGCCTCTTTGCCTCTTAATCCATTTTTTTGTCCAGATAGTCAGTAATATAGGTAGCTAATAGCCTCTCAACACATCATCTTTTTACCATTCAGTACCCTGTCCTTTTGCATATGATATTTTCCCCTACTGGCATTTAGTTCAGTTATACATTCAGATGAACACTTTTTTTTTTTTTAAATGTTTTTTAAAAAAAATTTTTTTTTCAACATTTTTTATTTATTTTTGGGACAGAGAGAAACAGAGCATGAACGGGGGAGGGGCAGAGAGAGAGGGAGATACAGCATCGGAAACAGGCTCCAAGCTCTGAGCCATCAGCCCAGAGCCTGACGCGGGGCTCGAACTCACGGAGCGCGAGATCGTGACCTGGCTGAAGTCGGACGCTTAACCGACTGCGCCACCCAGGCGCCCCTCCGATGAACACATTTTAATGTGATTCACAAAATACTTTAAAATGTTTAATTCTCTCCTAAATATATTCATGCCATTTAACTAGGATGGGCAAATACATTACACTGACGCCACGACTCTCTGGGGCTACCACACTCCTGGCTGATGTTTCAGTAATACCCCCTCACAGCTCTCTTTTCCCAGACCTTAGCTTCCTCACGTGTACTTTAGATAACCAATACCAACTCATCAGAGTTAGTAACCATATAATATTAAGCCATATACATTAGTTGCAATTCTAAGGTCTGTTTGGACCTTAGATTCTATTAGTGCAGACCTTCAAAAAATTTTTTTAACCCTTATTTATTTCTGAGAGACAGAGCATGAGCAGGGGAGGGGAAGAGAGAGAGAGAGAGAGAAACAGAATCCAAAGCGGGCTCCAGGCCCTGAGTTGCCAGCACAGAGCCCAACCTGGGGCTCGAACTCATGAACGTGAGATCATGACCTGAGCTGAAGTTGGACGCTCACCCGACTGAGCCACCCAGGCGCCCCTATTAGTGTAGACCTTTGGACAGAAGTCAGTCTAAATTTGCTATCTCCAGAATCTCCGTCACCTATTTTCTTCAGTTTTCAAAGGAACAGTGAGTAACAAGAGTAGTTGAGAAAACAGTGTCATGAATACAGGGTGTGATACTGCCTGAGATTTTTTTATTTTATGATCTTATATTTAATACAGTCTTCTTAACTTTTCATAATACTTTATCCAGATCAGTGTTATTTGGGATTCTGTAATTATGCTGTGATCTTGAATTACATCTAATGTTGCATCTGTCTTGAAGCTTATTTTGTGGTGATTTGTGTATGCCATGCATTCGCTCAGTCACCTACCATGTGCCAAAGACCATGCTGTATCTTGAGGTTATAATGGTGAGGAGGAATAGACAAGGTCTCTGCTCTCGTGGAGCCTAAAGTTTGGTCACACAGACAACGGATGTATAACTATAAACTGGTAATTGCTGTCAAGGAAAGGAACATGACCTTCACTGAGAGCTAAGGGAAGCCTTCTCTGAGAAAGTGATATTTGAGTTGGGCGTAAAGTGGAGGGGGCACTGGGAGAAGATTCCATTTTGGGGGAACAGCATGGGAAAGGCCCTGTGGCATGAAGAATGGTGTATTAGAAAAACTAAAGAAAGCAAATAATGTTGGCTGTGGAGGGTACATGGAACAGTGGTGTTAGATGATTTAGAGAGGCGGGCAGGGAGCAGGCCTACAGCTGTAGTCTAAATAACCAATACAAATGACCCCAGGACATGACTAATTCTAAAGTATTTTCTAAGTACAGTTTGAAATCAATAATGAATAATGTCGTATACTACACTTACGTTTCTGACTAGAAAAACATAGTCTAGTTTTGATGTTCATTATTTCCACAAAGTTTCAAAGTATTGTAGCTAAAACTTGAATCTTATATTGAAGGGTTTTATTATCTCTCTTGTGATTACAGTTCTCAAGTTTTGTGTTCAGTGTTGCTTGTTAAATTGATTTTTGGCTTTTAGAGCATTAGTGATCTTGAGACTTGTGTCAGTGGTAAAGGAATTTGAGGGCTTCTTAACACACCATGGCAAACATATATACATTAGGTTGTAATAAAAAATTTCAGTACAGGGGCGCCTGGGTGGCGCAGTCGGTTAAGCGTCCGACTTCAGCCAGGTCACGATCTCGCGGTCTGTGAGTTCGAGCCCCGCGTCGGGCTCTGGGCTAATGGCTCAGAGCCTGGAGCCTGTTTCCGATTCTGTGTCTCCCTCTCTCTCTGCCCCTCCCCCGTTCATGCTCTCTCTCTGTCCCAAAAATAAATAAACGTTGAAAAAAAAAATTAAAAAAAAAATTTTCAGTACAAATAATCGATAACTGAGGGCATATAGGACTGAGTGGAAAATGGGGGTACCAACCACCTAAAGTATATAAAAATAAAAAGTTATTTTAATAATTTATTTTTCTTGTGTGATGTTTGCAATGCAGTGATAATCAGAAATGAAGACCGAGTATCTCTTTATAAGAGCTAAAGCAAAAAGCCATTGAAATCATTGTTTGGCGAAGGGAGAGAAAAGAGCTTATGAATCTAGACAGATTCGTAAACATTTTTTACTCTGAGACACTTTGGAGGCCTTCAAGTAATCATTTTAAATGAAGTATTGCAAGCCAATGTACTATGCGTAAATTATAGGCAAGTGGTTTTGCTCAAATTTCTGAAGCCTTCGGTAAAATGAATTTGTGAAAGCCTCAGACGCAAGGCCCAGAAATAGAGGTTACAGTCTGAGATTACTGGTCACATTACTGTTCCCTTCCTCATCTAGGATAATAGCACACTTATGTGTATATACACACACATAGACTGTGTTCATATGCTTTCCATGAGAGAGAGGAAAAGCCCTTGTTGAACATAAAAATAACTTTTGAGGTTGTTTTTGCCACATTCAATCTAAATTTCTCTTTTTCCAATGGAAGCCGAAGGACTGGTGCAGCTGTCAGAAGAAATGGTGAACAGGTGGTCACCAAAGAGTTCTTTAGATGCTTAATTATAGTTACTAAATTGCCTCTGTTTATGGCTTTACCCTTTATGGCACTTCATCACAGGTCTTGTGGCTTTCTAAGTCCTTGCAACTCACTTCTCACAAAGCTGCATTTATAGGATGTTTAGTGGTGGCTAACAACTTGAACACAGGAGATGGTAATTAAGAGGGAACTTGGGAAAAGATGCCAAATAAATTGTTCACATGAGCAATTGTATGGGCTATTGTATGGAATACTGTGCTACTTTTTCCATGTATAAATTTTAAAGGGCCCAACAACCCTACTAAAATCAAATTCAACTGCCTTATTAGACTTTTATATTATTGATCTCATGGCTAATAGAGGTTTCATATAGCCAGACTCTATTTGTAATACTGTAACAGGTTTGTATATACCACACACTGTGTGTCTTTTGTGTATCTGGCATCTCGCTAGGCATTTTACTTCGATTATTTGAAATTGTTACAACAAATTTTCAAGGTTGGTGTTACTGGTCCTGTTTGAGATATGTGGAAACTGAGCTCAGTGAGGTGTTGGTGAATGTTTCACAACTGACTCCTTGGGTTAAAAAAAAAAGTTTCTGATCTGTAGCATTTGCTCATTTCTGTGGTATAAATGCTCCCATCATGTCTGGTTTCAAGGTACCAACTGACTTCAAATGGAGTCAGTGCAGGGGACCGGGGAAGAGTTGGGCACAGTGGGCTCTTCGGCAGTATGAGCTGGAGCTAGCATACCACTGATTGAGACTCTTCAAAACAAAGTGACCACTTTGAAAAAAAAACCAAAATTCACACTCAGATCAGTCTACTTCTAAACACTGTGTTCTTTCTGCAATACCCTTTTTCCTTTCTGGATAAAAAACAGGAGAGTACTGCTCTTTTATCTTGAGGAGGACAGAAAGGACTGGAAGGGACAGAGAGGGGAAGAAAAAGTAAAGGGGGAGTGAGGGAAGGAGGAAGAAAGGAGCGTTAAGATCAAAAATTGAAATCAACCAATTCAAACCACGTTGGAGGTGGGGAGAGAAAAAAAGAAGTCTTACTAAAGTGATAACTCAGGTTTTATCAAAACAGGCAGCACTTTGCTGTGGTTTTGTCACTCTCAACAGACGCACGGCATACAGAAATAATAATGGCTACCACATCTCAAGCGGGTTTGTCTTTAGACAACCCCCTTCCTATAACTGATGATGTATTCTTACCACTATGATTCACACCAGCTTCAACCAATGACCACATCACTGGGAACAAAAACAGTCCAACAAAGTAGTTAATGCGGATAATAAGTAACAATCTCTTATTCATATGACAAAGAAAATAACCACAATTTTTCTGGAGACAAAAAAGAAAACCAAATATGCTATCATGCATTCCGCATTCAAAATTGCTTATTTTTGTAAGTAACAAGGAGAGAGAAAACTTCAAAGCATATCTACAATGAATATCCATTCACTTGCATTTTTCAGGCTGATTCTGAAATATTTATTAATCTGGATGCTCTGCCTACAATAAAATCCTTTTATTATGTTTGCTTTGAGATATATAAGGTGTCAGATGAAAAGTTTTTCCATACATTTATAACCAATCACATAAAAGCCATATATTTTACTGAAATAGTCTGAGTTATCTAAATGGTATTTAGCTTCTTTCATAAAACATATTAAGCCTGCGTTGAGCCAAGTAACAATAATGCTCAACAAGAAAGACAACACATTGTTAATTTTAGAAATCTTTCTTTTCCTCACTCTTGCAAAACTATCTGGTACCAAAAACATGACACTGCAAGAAGAGGAAAAGAGGGCACCATTGCAACCCTGACTATAACTTTTAATTAGTTTTACAACTACAAGTGTCAAAAATGTTTATATACAGAAAAATAGTAAAGTAATCCTGAACAGGGACTTTATAAAAAAGAAGTGTAGTTTACTGTGTTATAAATAACCATAGCTCATAACCAAAGAAACCAATTGAAACTGGAGAAAAGAAAGCACTGAAATTTAATTCTGCTGGCCGGTTTTCATATCAGACAAGAAATTCATAATCAAATAGGCATTCCCTTTTAAGATGAATTTAATGACATACGGTTATTCATTCATAATTTTCTATGTTTTTTAAGTGTATAGACTATAGGTATGTCCCCATTTCATTTGTAGTATTGATAATTTGTATCTTTTTTCTTGAGTATCTATGTAGAGGTTTAGAATTATATTAGGGGTGCCTGGGTGGCTCCATGAGTTAAGTACCCGACTTTTGATGGGCTCGGGTCATGGTCTTACGGTTCTGGGGTCGAGCCCTGTGATGGGCTCTGTGCTGACAGCACAGAGCCTGCTTGGGATTCTCTCTCCCCCAGCCCCTCTCTCTGCCTCTTCCCGCTCCAGCATGCACCCTTTCAGAATCAATAAACTTAAAAAAAGATTTTAAAAATGTTATTAATCTCTTCAAAGAACCAACTTTTTGTATTACTAATGTTTTTTGTGATTTCTTTAAATAAACTTTTAATGATACACTAGTTCTAGATTTAGAGAATTGCAAAGATACCAGAGTTCCTATATACTCCATACCTATTTTTTCCTAGTAACATTTTATATTACTAATGCACATTCATCACAATTAATGAACCAGTTAGTACTGATACATCATTATTAACTAAAGCTCATACTTTATCTGTATTTCCTTAGTGTTTGCCTAATATATCTTTTCTGTTTCAGGATCCTATCCAGGATACCACCATTACATTTAGTCATCTATCTAAACAGTTTAGTCATCTATCTGACAGTTTCTCAGGCTTTCCTTGTTTCTGATGACCCTAAGAGTTTTAAGGAGTACCTCAGCTGGAATTTGTATGTTGTTTTTCACATGATTAGATTGGGGTTAGGGGTTCCTTTAGAGAAAGACACAGAGAAAAAGTGGTATTTTCATTACACTATTTACAGGATACATACTATCTACATAATACTGGGGTTATTTATTTATTTTTTTTTTTACTGACAAAAATTGGATTTTTAAAAAATATACAACTTGATTTTTTTAATTGAGATACAGTGATACTAGTTTCAGATATACAACATAATAATTTGACATTTGTATATATTGCCAAATGATCACTACATTTAATCTGTTTAGCATCTGTTACCATACACATCTACATTTTTTTTCTTGGGATGAGAATTTTAAGATTTTACTTGCTTAGCATCTGGCAGATTTGCAATACAATATTATTGACTGCAGAACCCCTGCTGTACATTAGGTTCCCTTGACTTACTTATTTTATAACTTATTTTCTCCTCCTCTGGCAACCATCAGTTTCTTCTCTGTATCTAGGAGTTTTATTCACTTTTTTTTTTTTTTACATTCCAGATATAAGTGAAATCATTTGATACTTGTTTTTTTCCTGTCTACTTATTTCACTTAACAAAATGCTCTCAAGGTACATCTGTGTTGTTGCAAGTGGCAAGATTTCAGTCTTTATTGTGGCCGAATAGTGTTCTACTATGTCTGTATACATATGTGTGTGCACATACACACACATATACACATGCACATTTTCTTTATCCATTTATTTTTCCATTTCTTCTACTTCTTTAGCCACAATGCTATAGTGACTAAGGGGATACATATATCTTTTCAAATTAGTGTTTTTATTTCTTAGGATAAATACCCAGAGATGGAATTACTGGATCACATGGTAGTTTTATTTTTAATATTTTCTGTACAGTTTTGTCCATTGGCTGCCCCAGTTTACATTCCTGTGAACAGTGCATGAGGGATCCCTTCTTCCACATCCTTGCCAACACTTGTTAATTTTTGTCTTGTTGAAAATAGACAATCTGGCATATATCAGGTGATATCTCATTGTGGTTTTGATTTGCATCTCCTTGATGATTAGCGATGTTGAGCATCTTTTCATGTGCCAGTTGGCTGTCTCTATATCTTCTTTAGAAAAATGTCTGTTCAGATCCTCTGCCCATGTTTTAATTGGATTTTGTTGTTACTGAATTGTATGAGTTATTTATGTATTTTAGATATTAACCCCTTATTGGTTATATGATTTGCAAATATCTTCTCCCATTCAGTAGGTTGTCTTTTTACTTTGTTGATGGTTTCCTTCACTGTGCAGAAGCTTTTTTAGTTTAATGTAGTCCCATTTGTTTATTTATTCATTTTAGATTTTTATTTTTTAAGTCATCTCTATACCCACACAACCCCAAGATCAAGAGTCACATGCTCCCCTGAGTCAGTCAGGCACCTCAGCCCATGTCTTTCTTTTTGCTTTTGTTGCTACTGCTTCTGGAGTCAGATCCAAAAAGACATTGCTGACTAACGTCCAGGAGCGTACACCTATGTTTTCATCTAGGAGTTTTGTAATTTTTGGTCTTACGTTCAAGTCTTTATCCATTTTGAGTTAGTTTTATGTATGGTGTAAGATAATGGTCCATTTTCATTCTTTTGCATGTAGCTGTCCAGTTTCTCCAGCACCATTTATTGAAAAGGCTGTCCTTTCCCCATGGTAAATTTTTGCCTTCTTTATCATAAATTAACTGACCATATTTGCGTTTGTTTATTTTTGGGCTTTTTCTTTTAAATGTTTAGTTATTTTTGAGAGAGAGAGACAGAACGTGAGCAGGGGAGGGGCAGAGAGAGAGGGAGACACAGAACCTGAAGCAGGCTCCAGGCTCTGAGCTGTTAGCACAGAGTCTGATGTGGGGCTCGAACTCATGAGCCACGAGATCATGACCTGAGCTGAAGTCAGATGCTTAACTGACTGAGCCACCCAGGTGCCCTGGTTTATTTTTGGGCTTTCTGTTCTGTGCTGTTGATATGTGTGTTTGCTTTTGTGCTATTACCACACTGTTTTGATTACTATAGCTATGTAGTATAGTTTGAAATCAGGGAGATGATGTCTCCAGCTTTGTTTTTCATTCTCAGAATTGCTTTGGCTATTCAGGACCTTTTGTGATTTCATACAAATTTTAGCATTGTTTCTTACGTTTCTGTGGAAAATGCCATCAGAATTTGATAGAGATTACATTGACTCTGTGGATTACTTTGGGTGCAGTGGACATTTAAACCATATTAAGTCTTCCAGTCCATGGGCACAGAATATTTTCCCATTCATTTGTATCATCTTCAGTTTTTTTCACTGTACAGGTCTTTCACCTCTAGTTAAATTTATGTCTAGGTATTTTATTCTTTTTTATGGAATTTTAAAGGGGATTGTTTTCTTAATATCTCCTTCTGATAGTTCATTGGTAGTCTATAAAAACACAAAAGATTTTTTTGCCCTGCAACAAATCAAAACAAAAACAAAAACAACAAAACAAAAACAAAACAAAACAACAAAAACAAAAAGCAACAAAAACAAAAAAAGATTTTTTCACCCTGCCCATTTTTTTATCTGCATTCATATTATATTAGGTCTAACAGTTTTTTGGTGGAGTGCTTAGAAGTTTCTATTTATAAATTTATATAATTTGCACACAAAGATAATTTGAATTCTTCTTTTCCAATTTGAATGCTTTTTCTTTCTTTTTCTTGCCTAATCTCTCTGGCTAGGTCTTTCAAAACTGTATTAAAAAAGTG